TTAAAAACTAGAAAACAAATAGAATAGAAAATAAATAGATCTCAATAAAATACATGAACCTATACATGCATATGATAGATACACATAAAATAATACACATATTAGAGTATATTACAAATAAACATATACATAAATATATAAGATACTAATTTGCACAATATGAGGAAAGGTAGTGCTCCCTTACGAGTCTTTTAAAGATTGGGATGGATTTAGAGTCACGGATGTTAGGTGGTAGGGAATTCTAAAATCGCACTACTTTTAATTATAGTTGATATTAAAGTTTTTAATTTTATTTCTAGTCCAAGCCCGGTGAAGTGGCGCAGGCAGTGAAGGATGCTATCGACGCCGGCTACCGACATATCGACTGCGCTCACGTCTACATGAACGAAAAGGAGGTTGGGCAGGCATTGAAAGAAAAGTTCGATGAAGGAGCCGTAAAAAGGTAAAAAGAATAACAGCTTAGTAAAATACATTTTACCACCGCTTCTATTCCCGTGGGTGCCTTATACCCTTCTGTTTTGTACCATTGGATGGCAAAGGGTGAGCAGCAACATTTGCCTTCTATATATAGGTTAATGTATGGACCCAGTATTTCTAAAATAAATTTATTTTATTTATTATTTATAGGTACATTTTTACAATCCCTACTCTTCTCATGGGTGTATTATACCCGTCTGTTAGATTACATCGTTTAACAGAGGTTGGACAGCAGAAACAATGACTTTTCTACCATTTACAACCCCTGCTCTTCACATGGGTATTTTATACCCGGCTAAGGGATTTAAATTTTACAGTCGCGCAGAGTCAAAAATTTTGTGTTTATGTGTATACTATACATAAAAAGTAATTATAATATAGAAGGTTTCAATAAGCTGTATTCTACCAATCAAGCCCTGTCGTTTGATATCCATAATGGAGGTAGTTGTAGAAACAATTAGATTATATTGTATGGTCATCGAGATTAAGAGTGTGTACCAAATATCAGATCGATCTGTCGTCAGGAAGGGGGTGACATTACAATTGGACCCTGTAAAACAGAAACGATCCAGCCCACATTTAATTATACTATTGAGTACATGAAGTATAAGTGTGGGAGAGCCATGCTTCGGTACGATTGGGCCGGCTCGACCGGAGTGATACCACGGCCGAGCAGAAAACCGACGTGAAGCAACGCTTGCGTTGTGTTTCGTCATGTGAGTGAGGTTACCGGAGGCCCAATTACCCTCCCCTTACCCAATCTTCGCAATTCCTGAATCCCCAACGATCCTCAAACTCCTAATCCCTAAACGGCCGGTAACGCACTTGTAACGCCTCTGGTGTTCCAGGTGTCCATGGGCGACGCCGAATGCTTACCATCAGAATCATCTCGAATCATCGTCTGCTCGTTTACCGGCTTATGCCATAAAAAAAATGTTGGGCAGATAATAAAAAACTCATAACGCACCTACGGTGCAATATCGTCACTTATGCAATGTTTGTCAAAACTTAACTGATTATGAAAGAATACTCCAAATTCACCTCTTTACTTGGTGCGTTATTGTCATTTGTGTAGTAAGCAAACTGACATTGAGAGGGCATTACTGTCGTTACGGTTGTGGCGCTAATCTGGACGGCACTAGGAAAAAAAACGTTTCATTGTTCAGTTGCGCGCGGGCCCCCGCAATATATAAACATAAGTGACGGTATAGCACCGGAGGTACGATAATATGAGTTTTATTTTAGTTTTTTTGTTCACACAGTACTTATTGAATAGGTAGGGCATCATATTATGATTACTTTAAACTTCATTTAGTTACTCAAATGTAATAAAATGTGGGCTGGATCTCTTCTGCTTGACTTATTATTATCTATTTATTATTTATTTATGTACACACATACAACATAAAGGACAACACATACATAAAATTAAAGTACAAAGGTACCACCTATTCCTATTGGAATTTCTTCCTGGGGACCTGGAGCAGGAAAAGTAATAATAATATAATGACACAGTGTGTAGCAACAAATAGAAAATTGGGATAGGAAACAGACTTAAAACTAACAGATAAATAACCAAACAACTACATACAATATATAAATAAATACATACAAAATATAAACTATACATATAAATGAAGAAATTTACATATCAGGAGGAAAGGTAGTGTTCTCTCACTCGGTTTTTAAAGATAGCGATAGACTCAGCGTCCCGAATGTTAGGCGGGAGCGCATTCCACAGTCTCACTGCATGAACGGAAAAGGAGTAGGAATAGAAATTGGTATTATGGGGTTCGATTTTAAGATTAGATTTAAGGTGTGAACGAGATAGGACTTCAGGAGGACGAACCAAGGAGAAACGGTCCCGAAGGTAAGCAGGATAGGCAGGGTTGAAGAGGATGTTATATAGGAAGCATAAAATGCGAGTGTTCCTGCGAAGACGGATCGGAAGCCACTTGAGCCTATTGCGGAATACGGAAACATGGTCGTACTTTCTTAAACCAAAGACAAAGCGGATACAAACATTTTGCAATCGCTCAAGTTTATTTAAAAGCTCCTCTGTAGCATCCTTGACAATAAACAAACTACTTGACAATAAACAAACGGGGTAGTAGGCTAAATAAAACAGTTTAATTAATGAAAAGTTTATGATTTTGTATCTTAATTAATCGCGTCAAAGCAGCTGAAGGGATTGCATTGAAATTAGGAACAGATTGTAATCTTTTTTTTTTTTAAGGGGGGAAAATCATCGAATGACTGCTCCCGCTTGGGTGAGGCGGGAGGTAGTGTCAGACTCTTACTGACTAAAAACCACCCCGTTCCTTCTCTTGCACGTCGAGCCGGAGCCCCGGTTACCCGTTAGGTTCTCCACGACTCCGAATCGGCATCGGCCCTATTGGGCCCCATCTGTGGTAGTCTGATGGCTCTTTGAGGCGCGCACGGAACGCGACGCGCCGTACGCTCGGGTCTGTTTTTGGTCGAACGGGGAGCCACCCATGCTAGCCGTCCGCAGGCCCGCGCTTACGATGGCCGGAGATCGTCCCGCGATCGCCGACGCCCGGTGTGTCCTTCACGATAGCTGGGTTGCGACGCGCCTCCTCCTTAGCTAGCATGACTGCTTCGCAAAAGGAGGAGACGGCATCCCAGTCCTCCTCGCTCCGCATCTTGGCCCGCACTAGGCCCGGACGCGAGAGGTCGCCGTCGCCGATCACTTCCCTGAAGGCACGGACGCGGTGCTCAGCCCACGCAGGGAACAGATTGTGGTCTGGAATATATTTATTGGTAACCTTTTTCGTTCGGAAATACGAGCGAAGCCGTTGACAGAAGCCAGTATTGTACGTATGTATGATCTAAAATGATACTGTATTGTACGAAGTGGATGTATATCAGCTAATCGACATCCTTCACGCATTTTAATGAGCGCGCACGTTAATGAGTATTTTTACAACCTCATGTCACGTAAAATAGGCTATAATACGGTATTTTAGTCTTTTTTTTTAAGGGGGGAAAATCATCGAACGACAGCTCCCGCCTGGGTGAGGCGGGAGGGAGTGTCAGACTCTTACTGACTAAAAACTACCCCGTTCCTTCTCCTGCACGTCGAGCCGGAGTGCGGAGCCGCGACACGGTATTTTAGTCTAGATGAGAAAAAAATTAAAAGTAAATTACAATAATGCATCGTTAGCCGAGTGCGACTGCCGGGCAAGGGGTTTCGGGTTCGATTCTCAGATCGGGCAAAGTATTACTGGGTTTTTAAAAAAAATCTCAGGTTTAGCACGGAGTCTGGAAATGTGCCCGGTCTATGGCAATAGGCCCACCCCCACATTACATGGACTTACAACATAAATAGTGAAAAGTGGGTGTTACATTGTACAGTGGCATTAGGTGCCGTAATGTACACCTCTGCTTACCTCTTCGGGGATAAAAGGCGTGAAGATATGTATGTATATATGTAAATTACAATGACTGCTTAGAGGCAAAGCAATCGGGAAATATTAGTTTCACTTCATCAGTACTTAACTCGTCGAGTACCGTCATTATAGACACAATTATAGAACAATAGGTTGCGGTCACCGGTGTCCTCGCGGTGTTTGACAGTTTAAATATTTGTTTATTGCAGCTTAAAGTTTTAATATTTTTTTATCTGTCTTTGAGCACTACGAAATGTCGCCGCCATGCTAATGACGTCATTACGGTAGTAAACAAAACTGTCAACTGTCATTGTACTAAGTGTGTATTACTGTCAGCTGTAGTTTACTGAATGAATACTGACGGAATGACGTCATGTCTACAAAACAACCATGGCGTCCGGTGTTTGCCGCGTTTTCGCGATATACGCGCGAAATTTGAAATTATGATAAACTAGTTCATTTATATTCGCACCTACATAACGCGAGAAAATTAATTTAATTAATAAATTCCATTTATTTCAATTAGACCAGGAAGGCACTTTTGAACGTCACAACAAAATATTTAAATATTAAATAATAAGAAAAAAAATGTCAGTCTGTAGGTCAGTCCTCTAGTGAAGCTATTTGCTCGTTCCAAAGTGTAGATTCCTATGTAGAAGAACGAGCAAGAAACTCCATAGGTTACTTTTTTTCAATCACGTTCACAATACAATTTTTGGTTACATTCTTTCGTTGAGTTCAATAATGTGAGAACAATGTAATAACCATCGTCATTCTTAGGGCCATCCCTCTCATCCATCACTTCTCAGTCGAGCGGTAATCAAGTCGCAGCCAACCAGCATCCTCGGCCTCATCAGGGAGACCATCGTCTGCAACTGATGACGTCACAACGTGATTGAGTGACAAACAGACAGAAAAACAGACAAACAGACAAGCTTTGGCAGATAGCAATACCATGTGTTTATTCTTATTCGATTTTATATAGCTTGCCCCATTACTTTGTTTGGGTCTGTAGTAATTGTAATGTCACCCCCTTCCTGACGACAGATCGATCTGATATTTGGTACACACTTAATCTTGATGACCATACAATATATTCTAATTGCTTCCACAACTACCTCCATTATGGATGTCAAACGACAGGGTTTGATTGGTAGAATAGAGCTCATTGAAACCTTCTAACTTATAATTACTTTTTATGTATATTGCTTCTTTTTATCAATTATTTATATAAGGTGTTAATAAATTCGCTCTAAATATTTTATGAGGTTGGTGGGAATCAATAAACTGACACGTTTAGCAAAAAAAATTAACAATTTTAACAACTTTTATTTTAACAAAAATAAAGGAGTTGGTTAAACGTTTTTGTGCAAACCGTACGTGGGGCTGCGCTTGCGGCCCAAGCGAAGCAATGGCGCGCCGTCACCGTCCCCATGTTATCGCAATCTCTCTCTCTTTCTCCCTCTCTCCCGTTCGCTAGTTGCCCCGCTCTCTTTCCCACTTCTCTCTCTCTCGATCGCCAGTTGACCGATAGCTGTCGCGCGGGAAGGGTGTGGCCCTCAGTGTCGTTCAGTGTTGTGTCCGATCAATCGCACGCGCCATTTTTTATTGTTCGTTGTTCAATATTCAATAATGCAGTTTACGCATAGTAACCGCAAGTACTTAGACATGTTAATGTGGTACATTAGAAGTGGCGAAAATGTATCTGCAGCTCGTCAGTGGTAGTGAGATCAGAAACGCAGACGAATTAAAAATAAGCATAATAAACGCGTTTGATATTATTAAAAGTGACAGAGACACATTATTGCGAGTGAAAAACAACGTAATACGTCGCGTCGTACAAACTTGTGCATCGAACAAAGTGGAAGACACTTCCAAGTTCCAGCATCTTCTGTAAATAAGGTAGACTCTTTGTTAATACTTAGGTATCTAGAGACGGGCATTTATTCCGATGAATACTTGTAAATGATAAATACCTAAGTAACTACCAACCTACCACCTAGTACTAGTACTACTAACTACCGAAGTATTGGTTTTTGGTTGAGTTATTATTAGTATTTACCTATTCAAAAAATTGACATAATTAATCATTGTAGCTATGCTATTTTAATTATAAGCATATCAATTCAGTTAAATAACATAATCTAAACAGAGTCGTGTGGTCGTTTATTAAAATGAAACATTATTAAGTTCAGTAGTAACATAAGCGCGCGGTACCACGACACCTGCGTCAGCGCGGTCGCTCGGGGCTTCGTCGACGGCCTAGTACGCCGTACGGCGCGCATATTAGGCTGTTTACGTGTAACACAAATAGTGGAATAACTTTAGAACGGTAGCTTTTTGTTAAATTATTTTTTCGTGATTAATTATGGAATAAATGTTACAACAAAACCTTAGATGTCCTAGAGTTAATTTATTAACACCTTATATACAACAATAATTTATTCATCACTCAAATTAAACGGCTGAACCAATATTTTAGTTGCACGTTAACCGCAAATGTTGCCATTCTAAAAATTTCTCCCCGATTTCAGGGAAGATATTTTTATCACATCAAAACTATGGTGCACCTCCCACCGCCCGGATCTTGTGGAGGGTGCCATTAAGACCACGCTAAGCAACTTGGGATTGGATTATTTAGACTTGTATTTGATTCATTGGCCTCAAGCTTTTAAGGTAAGCCTGTAGATCAGATTTTTTTTATTAACAATATGGTTGCCCCACACTAGGGTTTTCTCCTGTGTCGTGGGTGCGTTTACAAACATACAAGTTCACATACACATGCCACCCAAACCCAGAACAACAATCTGTGGATCACACAAATAGTTGTTCGGTGCGGGAATCGAACTCGCGACATGTCGCGCGGCAGTCAGTTGCCCAACTACTGCGCCAACCGTGCAGTCAAATTATTTGTGTGATTTACATCACATCACGTCTTTTATGCCTGAGCGGGTAGGCAAAGGTGCACATTACGGCACTTAATACCACCGTACAATATAAAACTCACTATTTATGTTACGAGTCCCATGTTATAGGGCGTGAGAATATTGCCATATACCGGGCACTATCCAGACTCCGTGCTACTACTGAGATTTTTTTTAAAACACGAAAGAACGAAACCTTTACCGGTTTCGATTCGCGCACGGAGCAACTCTTTGTGTGATCCACAAATTGTTGGTTCGGGTCTGGATGTCATGTGTATGTGAAATTGTAAACACACACACGAATCATGAGAGAATACTAGTGTGAGGCTACGTTCCTTAAAAAATAAAAACAAAACTAAATCTCATCTTGCTAATTGTTCTTTCTAAAGAAAGTCAGTTCTGTTCTCACTTCCAGGAAGGAGAGGAAATATTCCCCACAGGAGCTGATGGCAAGGTCATTCCGTCACCTGTAGACTTTGTCGACACTTACAAGGAGATGGAGAAACTGGTAGAGAAGGGTCTCACAAGGAGTCTTGGACTTTCAAACTTCAATAAGAAGCAGATTGAAAGAGTTTTGGAAGTCGCTTCGGTAAAGCCGGTGATGTTGCAGGTATGGTTTTTAATGACATAAATCTTATATTCTTGTCTTATACATATATTTTTATTATTTACTAGCTGTTCTGCCCTCGACTTCGTCCGCGTAGCAAATGATTCCTGTTTTGTCCCATAGGAGCATTCAATCGGGATAAAAAGTCCTATCACCTAAGTCAGCCCATACCCTGCCTGTATACCAATTTTTATTAAAACACGTTCAGTAGTTTCAGCGTAAGTGACGGACGAAAAGGAATTTTATATTTAATCCTTAATGTATACTAATCTTAATTAATTTAATCCCCTGACATAATTTTGAAAAATATGCTTCGGTTATCGGGGAATCACAAATATAATGTCATATTATGCAATAGTTATGTAACATGGAGTTTCTTGCTCGTTCTTCTCCATAGGAATCTACACCTTGGAATGAGCAAATGGCTTCACTTTTAATATTATTATTATTTTTATTTTGACGTTCAAAAGTGCCATTCTGGCCTAATTGGAATAAATGATTTTGACTTTGACTTTGACTTCGACTTTATTAATATTAATATCTTTAAAACAGATATGGATATACCTCTTACACAATCCGAGTGTTGTCTTTTTTATCGAACAGTATTATGATAACAATAATGGGAATCTTTGTAATACACCATTATCGATACAATAATTTCCTTATATTAACAATCGACGTCATTGAATGTTATTGTGATAACCAGAACCACTGAAATAAATAATGCATTGTTGCTCCTCCACGGAGCATCTTTAGGAGTTATTTACTCGGCGACTCCTACGGCTTAAAAGACTGTTGTTAATGTAGTATAGATTTTTCCAAAGTAATGCTTGATTCTGAGACATACGCTCCATCTCTTTACAGATCGAAGTCCACCCATATCTAAACCAACAAAAACTGATCGACTTCTGCAAGCTCCATGACATAGCGATCACAGCATACTCTCCACTTGGCTCCCCTGACAGACCCTGGGCCAAACCTGACGATGTGAAGTTATTGGACGACCCAAAACTCAAGGCTATTGGTGATAAATACGGAAAGAGTTCCGCTCAAGTCCTTATCAGGTTTGTTGGGAATATGTGCTATATATTATCATTGGTTTAGTGTACAGTTACACACAAGCAACCACAGCAAACGATATATTTTCTACATCTCTTTTTAAAAAAACTCACAACAATGTTAAACATGTACACCTTTTTTTAGCCGTTCTTGTGTTAAAGTTCAGAATTCACAAAATAGTGTAATTAATTATTTTTTATTATTTTAACGTACCTAATAACAGACGGGTTAGAGACAGTGGAACATTCAATCACATAGTTTTTTTATGGCATAAACCGGTAAAGATGGATCACCTGATTGTAAGCAATCGGCGTCACCCATGGACACCTAGAACACCTGAGGCGTTAAAAGTGCGTTACCAGCCTTTTGGATTAGGAATTTGACGATTGTTAGGTATTCAGGGATTGGAGAAGAAGATAATTGGGCCTACGGTAACCTCATTCACACGACCTAACACAACGCAGGCGTAGTTACACTTCGGTTTGCTGTGAGGCCGGGTATCACTCCGGTCGAGCCGGCTCATTCGTGCCGAAGCATGTCTCTCCCACACTACTATTGTGTCGCTCTGCATCACCCTAAGGTTGACTTTTAGAGAATGCCACTAAGAATTAAGTCCGCCATTGTACAAAAATTGAACCTCTGGTGTTGCGGGCGTCCATGGTTGGCGCTGATCGCTTACCACCAGGTGATTCACCTGCTCGTTGGCCTTCTATTCCATAAAAAATCAGAATTGTTGAAAAACAGAAAAAGTTATAGTAATACTTTGGCTAACTTAATAACCAAACATGACACCTCTTCCTCGACAGCCACACTTGCTAACCAAGACTAAGAGCGACAGTTTAACATAATCAACTTCTTTTGTTAATCTAATGTTAATTTTGTTAGTAGTAGTTTATTTTTTAGTAACTAAAATTTTATTGTTCTCGTTCATTTTTGTGTCTATAGTTTTTATTATCACTTAAGTAATTAAATGTTGGTTAACCTATAATTGGCGGCTGTATAAGCCTAATATTTATTGTTACTTTCATAATTACATAATACTATGTATACAGAAGCTGTTGGTATACCTATTTAAATAAATGAATAAATAAATCAACAATAAAAAAATTAATGCTTGACTACCTCATTGACTGAGTAGTCGCAAGTGCGACTGCCGAGCAAAGGGTCTCGGGTTCGATTCCCGCATCAGGCAGAGTATTACTGGGTTATTACTGTATTTTTTTTAATTCTCATTAGTAGTACGGAGTCGAGAATTGTGGCCGGTATATGGCAATAAGCTCACTCCAAATTACATGGACCTCGTATCCTAAATACTGAAAAGTGGCTATTATATTTACAGGACTATTATATTGGCATTAATTGCCTTAATGTGCACCTCTGCTTATCCATTCGGGGATAAAAGGAGTGATGTTGTATAAAATAATAAATCTTTCTGCCCTCAGATATGCCATCGACCGCGGCCTCATAGTCATTCCTAAATCGGTCTCCAAGAACCGTATCGTACAAAACTTCAACGTGTTCGACTTCCAACTGACCCTCGATGACATAATGGAGATATCTTCCCTTGAGTGCAACGGCAGAATCTGTTCCATGGGAGAGTAAGTACTATACTAGCATGCAGCATTCCTAGCATTGAAACACATAAACACACACACACACACACTCACACGCGCGCGCACACACACAGACACATCTACCCGCACACTCACTTATGTACAGTAGTTATATCTATTTAATGTATATTTTATTTATTTGCTATGTAGGTATAGATAGTATTATATTGTATGTATTGTTTTAATTATTATTGTACACTAGACGACCCTTTTTTCCAACTCCTGATTACTGGCTACATCCAAAGGTTGTCTGGAAGAAATCGCATTCTGCGATAAGACCACCCGTTGTACACATTCTTTTATGTTTATTTTCTATGTAAGTTTTTATGGTGTGCAATAAAGTGTGTAAATAAATAAATAAATATACCTTATCATGTTAACTGCCACGTAGGTCACCGGTGACCTACGTTAGCGGAGGACTTGCCTTCAGCAGTTTTCTGTCGGAAGTCAAAGGCTTATTATGTTTTGCCTCTGCCTACCCCTTCGGGGATAAAAGGCGCGATGTTATGTTTTATCAAAAAAAAAACGAAGCCCACAAGCATTTTCTCCTGCGCTCTGGTATTTGGTCATTTGTATCAATCCCTTCTGGTTGTAAAATCTCTTTTTGTGCCTTTAGGCTTAATTCATACTGTCTCTTGCAGTAATTCACTGAGAGAAGTGGAAACTATCGTTTTTTTTCTTCTCCTCTTATAATCTCTTGTGGTTTACTTCATTGCGGAAACCAAGACAGTTATTCATGATGAATAACAATGAATAACTGTCCCTGGGACGCGGACTTCAGTGTTCCGATGTTTTCATGGTTGTATCTACTATTGGTTGTGGCTTATAGAAGTTGCAGCAGTTTTGGGAGGCTGTGACTGGCTTATCCAATTTAAATATATGTATATATATATATATATAACAATGGATAGGTCTGGGTAATTGGGCTTCTGGTAACCTCACTCACACGACGAATCACAACGCAAGCTTTGTTTCACGTCGGTTTTCTGCTTGGCCGTGGTATCATTCGGTCGAGCCGGTCCATTCGTGCCGAAGCATGGCTCTCCCACATCTAAAATATGTATAATTACAAATATATAATTTATATTCTATTTTGTTTCAGCACACACCATCCAGATTACCCATTCCATGACGAATACTGAAAACCATCGCTGGAAGTCTTGAAAATGATGCGAAATCGGTCACTAAGTTAGAAATTCCAATAATCAATTTTGAACCTTTAACGCAATGGAATATGGTTAAACATCTACTAAATAAATTCGTGACTTATAGGCCATTTTCGCTACTTTGGGATTCGGACAAGCATTCCTAATTTATTTATTTATTTGCTTAAGAAATTATGCATTTTTGTGATATTTATAAGGATTATTCTGATTTATAGTGAGCATATTAGAAATATGCCACTTTTAAGTATCGCACAGTGTGTTGTGTGCAATTTTAATATACACGATTTAAAAAAAGTAATCTTATATACTACATTTTCTTTATGTACACTTGTGTTCAAAATCTAATTTGTCAATTTTCATATAGCACTGTTTTAACAGAACACAAAAAGTTCGTTAAATTGTTTTAAGTAATTTTCCCGTGTCAATAATTTTCTGCTAATTGTTAATAGAATTTAAAATTATCAATAAAACTTAAAAAAATATATTTTGTTTTAATAATAAATAAAAACACATTTTTCAATCTCCGAATATTTATTATTTTATTAGGTATTACTTCAAAAACGAATTAATTATGTCTTTATTCAGTTTATTTATTTGTTATTAACATTTTATACTAATTGCATTATGGTGTCAAAAGAAACTACGAAACAACTAGAAATTGTAAAAAAAACACCAAAAGATCCTCAATTTTAACCTGGTAACCCAGTACCATTTTACAAAAAATAATGGTTATTTTAATCTACGTCTGGCAACACTGCAACTGTCAAAGTGGTTATCCTCGACAGTCGACATTGTAGACTTATTTTATTTTATTGTTTTTCGCAAAATGGATATCGATACCGACCATTTACTTTGTAGATTGTGTTTAAATAACGATAATTTAATTCCACTATTTACTGGTAGAAGCGAAGATGCTGATTTTAGCGATTTATTATATCTCAGTACCGGCGTTACCGTAAGTTTGTTTTGATAAATTGTTTATTATTGTTTTTTGCAAAATGTCCTAGAATATTAAACAATGAAAGCATAATAGTTTAAATACTAAATTAAACCCGTTTTTTATTAACAAGATAGTTAATAAAACAGTATTTAGCTTGATAAGATGACAGGTACTGTGGACACTAAATCAACCTATTCTTTTCTGTCAAATTTCCCTATTACATCTTTATCTTTATTGTGTTGACATAAAGTCGAAATTACAATGACTCAATTTGACAAATTTGAATAGGTCGATAAGCTGGCAAGCGGTAACTGTTAACTTTATTTTCGTTAGCAAGTTTATTTTTAAAAATACGTAACTTTTATTTGTTAATAGAATAATTATGAAAACAAATTGTTCTTTATGAACTGCAAAGTTCTTTTACGGCAAAGCTCTTAAAATAATCTATATAAATCTTTATATATATAATTCTTCTGTGAGTGTGTATGCCACTGAACTTCTCTCAAACGACTGGACCGATTTTGATTCTGGGAATGGTTTAGGTTCACAAATCAGCCCGGCAGATGGCGCTGCAGTCGATGTTTAGGTTATTTATCCTAAACAGCTGAATTAATTTGAATGAATTTTGTTTATACATTCAAGTGGATGTGCAGGACAACGTCTGTTGGGTCCGCTAGTAAAAATGTATTTCCGTTCATTAGTCTCGCTTAAACTCGAGTTCGGCTGAACCGATTTGGGTAATTGTGGTCTTGAAATGTTTATGGAAGTCTAGGTAAGGTAAATTGAATGAAAAGCATTGCCTTGTCGGCTAGTTATTCATTTTTATTTACGTTTTTTATTCTGTTACCCAATATTAAAACAATAATATGCAGTAGGGTATTTGCCAGGGTATTAAAATTAAAAATCGAATTAAAAATATTAGACACGTATTTTTTTATTTTATCGTATAAAGTTACGATGCATATTATGTCAAATGTTGTTAAATTTAAGAGTTGGAGGTCGTCGCGATGTTTCAAATTAATATATTGTCGAAAGTATTTAATTTTGTGAGAAAGGAAAAAATACGTGTCTAATGTTTTAGATTTATCTACCAGATGGACATTAAAATAAAATTTAGGAACCTATGGTAGTTTCCTAAATTTTATCATCTTCGATTAGAGGAACTTCACTTTGTTGCAAATGTTGATACTGCTTATGAGATTAGTTAATACAACAACTAAAATTCAGATGTCAGCACCGTAGCTCTACCTGTCAAAATAGATTTTTGGAATTTCAACGTTAACTTAGTTCAAATAAAGTCGAAAACTCTTTGGTTATAACTTGCAACTGTCAGATAGGTTATACTTTGCGACCTTGAGTACCTAGTTTAGTTTGTGAAGTTAGAGGTTTTGGGTTCGATTTTCGGGTCGGATAAAATATCGTTGGGTATCAATACATAGTATAAAACAAAGTCGCTTTCGCTGTATGTCCGTATGTATGCTTAGATCTTTAAAACTACGCAACGGATTTTGATGCGGTATTTTTTAATAGATAGAGTGATTCTTAAGGAAGGTTTGTATCAGGGACTGAAAGCGGTTAAGGTATAACGGTACGGTACCGGTATAAAATAAGTGTACCGAAATTAAAGCTATACCGGTATTTAACCTTTATGCGATAACGGTACCGAAAAACTTAGATTTGACCGTTGCGAGACGTAAAGCTAGGAGTGTGCGGGGTGTGGTGCGAGGGGCCCCACTCCGAGGCGTGGAGCAGCGGCAAGCGAAAAACGCGCGCCTGTGTACCTGTTTATTCGTGTCACTGGTGCAACTAAACTACGCTACCGTTGTATGATTTGTGTGTACCGTACCTATCTAATAACTATATAATAGTCGTGTAACTATTAACTATGAGGCGGAAACGTAAAAATGCAGTATATGCATTGAGATATAAGTACTAATGAGTATATGCGTTTTTTTCATTTTCCAAGGAAAGTAATGTTTCTACATATTTAGTAACTGGATGCTTAGCTATAATAAAATAAGTATTGTACCCATTCATTGTAAACTTTGACCGGTCAGTGAGTATAGATGCAATATAGGTACTACTTATACAACCTATACCCTAAATGTAATTGGTAGGTATGTACATAATTATCTATCTTGTAGCTATAAGATACCTAACTATAACATTTATCTTATTATTCGGTACGTACCTATCTAAACTTTCGGATATCCTAGGTAGGTGTGTACCTAAGAACATCGTAATGTTTGTTTACTTATATTACATACCTACATAAAACCAGTCATTGGGTATCGTTCGTTAGGGTAGGTACTTACCTAAACTTTGATTATTTACTAGGTATATATAATATTATGTTCATAAGATGAATAGGATTAGGTACCTACCTTGGAATTTTAACTACAATTATTATATAATACAAATTATACAAGCCCAAACACAAGGTAGTTACTATAAACCGTTGATGAGTTCCCTTAACAATTACAGTTCTTCATCATCAGACCGTCAATGATTAGTCCTACTCCATCTAGGTGTAAAGTTCTCATCAATACAAATCAATCAAGCCCAAACACAAGGTAGTTAATATAAACCGTTGAGGAGTTCCTTTGACTGTCTGTCGGCTCCATCATCAGGTCGACTCCAGACCCTTTTCAAATTGTACATACATACTTACATAACTTCACGCCTGTCTCCCACGGTGGGTTTTTTCATCACCTATCATTACCTGACATTCTGTTATCACCTCATTTCTTTCTATCACCAACACTTTCGTCTTGTTCACATTTACTTTCATACCTTTCCTTTCAAATGCATCATTCATAGCAGTGATCATTTGTTGTAATTCTTGGGCCGACGAGGCAACAAGCACTGGTCGTCGGCATACAACAATGTTTTAATCACTGTGTCATTCATCCTTAATCCAGACTCTCCTACTTTCAGGTCGTTCAAACAGCTGTCCATAAATAGGTTGAACAGCCAAAGAGATGCTACACAGCCTTGCCTAACAACTCGATTAATTTTAAACCACTCTGTGTAGTCCCCATTTATTCAGACAACGGCACTCGAGTCCTTATATAAGGATTTAAGTACCCGAATCAGGTGGCTATCCACCCCATACATGGACAGAGTTGACCACAATTCATCCCTCACCACTCTGTCATAAGCCTTTTCTAGGTCTATAAAGGCACAAAATACCTTTTGGTGCTTTGATAACACTTTCTCTGAAATGAACCGTAACGAAAAGACTTGATCCGTACATTTCTTGATCCCATTCCCTTTCGAAATCCCGCTTGCACATCCCAGATTTTACGCTCAGTTACATCCATCACTCTTTCGATCAATACCTTGGCATACAACTTTCCTACTACGCTTAGGAGGCTTATACCGCGATAATTTTTGCACTCCTGCTGTGATCCTTTTCCTTTATACAGTGG